CAACCCAAACCAGTCTGGGATTCTTTGGTTTATTTGTCTTTAAGATGTTCGAGACTTAGGAAATGAACCTTAGTCCCCGGGGGATCTGAGCTGTGCCCCTGGATCCAGGCTGGTCCCTATATCTGATCTGTGCCCGTGCCTGATTCCCTGCAGGGCTGCCTGGGGAGTCTCCCCTCGTGCGGGTGCTGGAGGACGAGTCCCGGAGCCGCCTGGGTCGCTTCAACCAGAAGGACGTGTCGATGGTGTTCAGCAGTGTGATGCGGCTACACCCCTCCAGCCCACACCCCCTGGTTGAGTCCTGCCTCAGCAGCCTGGAGCGGCACCTGGAGAAGGAGCGACACCCCCAGACCCTCTTCCTGCTGCTCTCCTACTACCGTCTGCGGGCGCAGGCGCTGCAGGGCCACGCAGCCTCCGACCAGCAGCTCATCAATAACCGCAAGATCCTGCGGCTTGTGCGGCACACTCTGGGCCAGGTGAGCGCCATGCGGGAGCATGAGCTGGCCCTGCTGGATGAGATGCTGGCTCTGTGTGCCCAGGAGGCCAACAACAAGGCCCTGGAGGCCATCTTCAGCTCCCAGCTCTTCTACGAGAACCGTCAGGAGCGCTTCATCCGCAGCATGGCAGGTGAGGGAGCCCAGGTGTGCACAGGTGGGGCCCTGGCTGTGCTCCTTCCTTGGCCCTGGGGAACAGCGGGGTGTTGACAGTCCTGGAGCTGGTGCGGGAGGGGCTCTGTGTCATGGTCATCCTGTCACTGACTGCCTGGCTCAGCTCTTCCAGAGGCTGGAAGCCCCCCCTGCCTCTGGGAGACCCCTTTCCTTCAGGGACTGGAGGGGGCTGGGACCCCCCCATTCCTCAGGGGCTGGGAGCACTCCTGCTTTTGGGAGCTTCCTCATTCCTCCAGGAGCTGGGAGCCCCCTCTGCCTCTGGGGGGTGGGAGCCCTCCATTCCTTCACGGACTGGTTTCCCCCTGTGCACATTCCAGCTGTGCTCCAGCTGTGCCTTCTGTCTGTGCATGACAGCAATCCGAATCTCTCCCCTGGCCCATATCTGAA